GGAGTGCAATTCACAGGCTGGTGAATTTCAGATTCAGCAATAGGGAAAATGCCTACACATATAGTTTTACGGAAATTTTCTTCTATGAATGTAGAATCAAAATATCACATTTCATTGAATTATTCCTTGTTTAAGGTAGTTTGATATACCACCACAGAAATCCAGTAGTGACTATGACAGAGACATCCTTCAAGAGACTTCGTACTGTTAAGTCATGTTGACCATCAGGCTGATGAAAAGGCAATTGCCATTTCCTTCACTTTTCAATAACTATAGTATCATGCTACATCTGTACTTAACAAGTCTGATGAAAAGAAGTGTTTGAGATATCAGACAGTATTTCTACCCCTCTACTATCTGCCGTTCTGACTACATACCTGAACAATCACATACATAAGCAGTATCACATTGCAGAAGTTAGACTACCTGCAAAACAAAACACAAACTTCTTGAATGGGTTTGAAAAGCTTCAGAATATGGGGAGGAGATTTATATCCTTTTATAACTTAAAGTTTCAAGCTTTAGTTACTTGATTAGTCTTTTTAAAACTCATTACTAAAGGAGATTGTTCCAATTTGCTCGCCAACACCATTCTAACTTCAACATAACAAAAACAGCATAGCTTGCTGCACAAGCCGGTTTAGGCATCTGAAAGCAGCCAGTGTGCACAGCCTCCTGCCACCGCAGAGAAGAGTCCTATAAAAAGAAGTTTATGGGCAGAGGGGAAAGAATATCGTCTGACCAGCTTGAAGGGCCACCACCACCACCGCTGCTGGCTCTAGCAGCATCTCAGAAGAGAAGAGCTCTTGTATTGGCCATGCCCAATTATCTTCTGTTTATAGACACTGTTTTTTCACTTATTTGGTATTTCCATGCAAACTCAACATAATCCCATTTTGGAGGGGGAACAGTTGGAAGGAGAGGATGAGAGAACATCTGATATGAAAAAAACATGTTTTGCATCAAAAGTACTTACAGGTACTTACAGGTACCATAACTTACTATTCAAGAAGGTCTCCATCTACAGCTAAATATCAGACTGTTCCCTTTCCATTCGGCAGATTCCTATAGAACTGGGCATTTCTAGCATTTCTAACTCACCCCTTCCAAGCGGGCCAATGTACTAAACAAAAGGATTATCTGTGTGGGATAGTTTTTAGCCAATTACAGTTTACCATTGAACCTCCTAGCAACAAGCAGTCAATTTTTGGTTAGGCTACTGCCTTTATAAAATCCATTAAGTTTCCACATGTCCCTGTGAAATTTGAGACATATTTCCATACCCTGCAACCACAGGCCCTTACTGTGCAAACAAGATGAGTTCTGCATTTTGCTAGAGGAACCAGCCACTCCCCAGAGACTCACTGCTTCCTGCCATGGAGCTGTCAAAGCTCTCCCTTCAGTGCATTCATTTACTGGATCAAGTGTTAAGGTCAGGCTCCTGCATATTTAATCAGTGCTAGGGTGAAATCTGCCAAGGTGAAAGGCTTCCTTAATGTCTCCTTCCTCAAAAAGCTTTATTTTACAGACTATGAGGGACTAGCCACGTTTACTCCACAAAGAGCTCAACTAGTCTGGAGTTTCCCATACAGCTTAGAGGCATTTGGTCAGCTGTTGTCAGCTTTGACAGTCATGAGGGAATAAGAGACAGTCAGACCAGTGCCCTGGAAAGCTGTTGAATTCAGTGTACCTGATACACAAGTCAGAACAGGGCTCTCGATGAGGGCTGTATTTCTTGCTGAAGGAACACAAACACATGATGCGTTAGGCTCACTGCTAGACATATAGTGAATCACACAATCAGTGACTAATTACAGTGAGCAGAGAGATGCCACCTGTTCAAATTTTATTCCATTGCCAAGTGCCCTTTTTATAATACTGTTCAGTTCCAGCCCTAGAAGCTCATGAAATTGCTAAAAATGCTTCCTAGAAAAGCTAACTGCTTGTTTTCCAAGCCTGAAACAACAATGCATTTCTAGTCTCACATTTCTCCTTAACCTGTGGCTCTTAAAGACAGCTATGCTCTCCAATGAGTGTACTGCTTTGGTTCCTCTTGTAACCAGCTTCTTCTGGAGTCACATGCCACAAGCATCATCTCTTGGACTTCACAATATATAGCGTCTAATATTGGTAGGCTAGGAAATTATTTTAAAAAAGACTATAGGCTAGGAGATGGAAAGCATGCCATTGAGGAACAAATCTGGTTTGGAGCCAAGTAAATGGAGTTCATTTTCAGCTGGGGAAGTCCTGACTGAACAGCTTAGTAACCACAGCTCATCTTTAACAGCCCTGATGCAAGGGCTGCGGATGGGTGTAGATTCCCCACCCTATTCATCCCTAGGGGATCTGGGCTGCAGACACCAAGGAGCCTCTCTCAGTATTAGAGGGAAGGAAAGCTCAGAAGAGGACAAAAGCAAGGAGGAACCAAGGGTCGGGAACAGCAAACTTGAAAAGCGTCCTTGTACCATGTATCAGGGACACAGGGGAAGGAACGCATCTCCACATCCCCGAAGTGCTTGCAGTAGAAGGTTTTGATACCCCTGTCTGCCTGCTGGCTTCTCCAAAAGCTGGTGAAATCAGTCTGAAACAGACCAGAATCCCACTGATGGGGGCTAGAATCAGTTTAGCATTAAAAAAAAAAAGGAACAGCAGAGAGACTACTAGACTACTACAGAGGGCTCTGAAATCTAGTATCTCACCAGTTTCACTGTCTTGTTAATCTTTCCCTTATGGGAGATGTACGAACCAATGCTTCTCGCACCGGTCTTTAGTTAAACTACATTTTGGTTTGCTGCTGAAGAATGGCAGCATTTCTATCCAAAGCCCATTCAACTACTACCCCTATGAAATCTCTGCACTCAAGCTGCTCATACTCATCATGAGGCTGTTAACTAGAAAGAAGCTTTCCAGAAGTCCTTTGTATCTCATTTGGAGTGGGCAAGTAAATGTGGGACAAAAATATTTATTCCACCTTTAAACAGAGTAGGTGAAAAGAGACACTGCCCAAAAGCTTCTGAACAAAGTCAGCACCCTCCGTTGCCATAGTTTGTAGCTAGAAACTTTGATAAAAGGACCTTCCTCTTTTCCCAAGTCAGATCTCATGACTCACTCAAAGCAAAAGGGTACTACTCCATGTCAAAAACATTCAGGCTGTCTGCAAAGAGTCAAAATCAAGTTTCACACCAGAAAGTCTATATGCTGCAACAGCAAAATCATAAGATAGCTTTTTTATAGAGAAATCTGCTATGGTCCCAAAGTCTTGATAGAGGCAGCTACTGCCTTGGACCACTACAAACAGAAATTACTAGATGGGCAACTGCAGGAACACATCAGAGTTTAAAGCAATTAGAATACTGACAGCCATAACCTTGTTCTTACTCATCCCACTATGGGAACCAAGATCTCAGGATGAGACAGTGTGCACAGATTAAGAATTGGGAAGCAACCCTTGCTTAGTTCATATTAGTGGAGTCAGCAGGGAGGCCAGCTCTACCAGCCTTTTTGCAGCAACTAATGTAGGCAACAGCTCAGACATTTGAAACACACTGTCAGCTGGCACGTGCCCAGTAACACATTTTTAAGAAAGAACAGAGGAAGAAAAGTGGCTGAGCTGCCAAATTCCCCTTTCCCTCAGCAGGCTAAAGAGAGAGGTCAGTATACGACAGCTTGAGAAGGCAGTGAACCGAGACAGGATGGTAGAGCAGAGTAATGGATTAAGGGAAAAAATCAGTATAGACAAAAGCACAGCACTATAAAACCAAGGCAAGGGATTTTTTTTTCCACATGTAAGAAGTCTGTAACAATCTGCTGAGAATCAGCCATAAAATGAGATAATTCAGTTGCAACATATCACCTGGCCTGGTCACAGTGGAGAGCTGTATTTGCATCTACAAGAACAGCACAGGAGAGCTGCCTCTGTTCATATCTTTGCCTCCAGGTGGTCTTTACTGAATAACTAAACATCAAAGACTCCTTGTTTATTGGATCCCACGATCGCTTTACACTCAGAAAGAGATTTATCACATGTTGATCAGCAAGTTTCACAGACCAGTAATTTAAGATGTTCAAAGCCTTCTCCCAGCATTAACCAAGCAAGTATTTAGTATTAGCTCACTATAAACTCTCATATTTTGGTTTCAAACTCAATTTATCTCTTTATGCAAATATTAAGAATTTGTTTGAGCATATCCAAAATACCATAAATACCTGCTTCCTCCCTCCCCAGTAATTTTAGCCTCATTTATTGTGGAAGTCTGACTAAAAATCTCTTCTGTAATAGGGGAGACCCTTGGGTCCTCCATCAAGAAACAAGCAGGCTGGTATGTATGTGTATTCATTTACATCTCCTGCTCAGAAACTCATTTCTGCAATAGAACTTTTATCCCTTCAGAGTGTGTTTACATTGGAAAAACAAAACAAAACATCTATTAAGACAGGTGCAGTGTGAAATGCACTGCAAGGAAGAAAATGTACAGTTGGTTGAGAACATGACACAAAGAAGTGAAATCAATTACTAAGACATGAAGAGTTCCCATGAAGGGTGCATGATCAGATGCATCTCAAAACAGAGGCAAATTGCTCAAGTCCTAGTTTCAGCGTGCTCCACATCAAGGGAGGCAAAAGTTGCAGAAGGACTTGAGCTGACTGAAAAAAATCACTAGCAGAGTTGAAATATCACTAAAGTCAGTAGTAGGATTTTTAAGCACTACTTTATTTGGATAACTGTGTCAGAAATAAGATGCAGCAAAATAAGCACAAGAAGCATCCAATTAAGAGGACCCTTCACCCCTCAATAGAAGCTCAGCTCTTGATGAACTTGCACCATGTCAGGTCAGTCTTAGTGGAATATCCTTCCACAAAATTACCATGCAGTTCTGCATCATGCATGTGACTTCTAACTTGAACCAGCATTCACTTCAGGCGACAACAGCAAATTCACTTCTTACGACAACAGCAAACATCAGCATCAGCTACGGGCCTTCCACTGCTTTGTCGCTTACCTGATCGAAGAGTTGCTTCCCTGTAGTGTTGGGCTGGATAGCAAACTCCAGCTCAGCATCCATGGTGGTAACACGCACACTGATCTGAAAGACAGAAGATGCATCATTACAAGACATGCACTAAGTGGCACTACACAGTAAAAAGCAGCACCCAGGGACCAGTTCCCAAACTTCTGGAAGCTCCATTGCCGAAAGTTACAAGTCTCCTATCAGCAAAGCAGTCCCAGCTCTTAATAGTTTACTAGCAGAACATAAACCTTCTTGTCTTACAGTGTAAGAGTTTATTGTCACATGCAAGACAGCCAGTTAGAGATTACAAAGTTAGCTTTCTGAGCACAGGCTATCCCAGTACTTCTCACTAAAGCAAAGAAGTTTCAGACCTTGGTACACACAACCAGACACCCAGCTTCTCTGACATTCAAGTAGAAGAAGTGCTAGGAAACATTAAGAACTTGGTCTGCTGCAGAAGGCAGTAGGTATAGAACAATATTGTTCTAGTTTCCATGGATATTTGGGCAAACAAGACACAATCTGAGGGCAGAGTACAAAACAGACAGGATGGAAGAATGACCTTATGTGTTAAGGCAAGAAGAATGCATCCTGATCTAAAACATTCACTAAGAAGCGCAGACACTTCATGAGGCAGCAGAAGCACCTTCAGGTAGTAGTTTCCTGCCTCCAGGTCCTTCTGGAAGGATGAAGATCCCTTAAGGAGTGTTTTATGTGCAGATTACTATACAATCATGATTTCATAATAATATTAGGCCTTTGACATAAAAAGCAAGTTAGATACAAGATCACCAACTGGTCTTTTATGACACTGTCTTAACAATAAAAATCTCATAAGCAAAAATCTGATAAGCATGTTTCCACATGTAACATGAAAGTGGGGAGGGGATGGCAAGAAGCAGTTTCATCTCACAAAAGTAAGTATTCAGTAAGTATTAAGGACACACCAGTAGTCTACCCAACAAAAGCTATTCCCCCCCCTCACCAAAGAAGGTTTAAAACAGAGTTGATTCTATTCACAACTCCTAGGCATTGCTGGGAAATGTTTGCAGATCCTCAGGGGCAGACAGGAACATTTCAGTCTGAGAACAGAGTTGGCTGCTGCGTTTTGACCAGGCTGATTTTAAGGCTCTCAGATACACTACAGTGCTTGAGAATTCATTTCTATTTCTGTACCTATCAATTTAAAATGGAAAAAAAAAAGCTTTACAGCTTATGTATACATGCTGGAAATAGTTTTAGTACAGACTGTATTCTAACGCTTTTCCATCAGAGTTTGAAAACAGAGTTATGCAGACAAGATTCCTGGTGCACCAATCCCCAGCACACAGGCCCTACATTCATAGCTACACCCTTGCCAACAGACAAAGCAGTCTGCAACACCAAATCCTGATTTGTTCATTTTTCATTGCAATCAATCCTCTTAGCCCTCCCTACAAGTCCTCTTCTCCCCAGGTGGGGGGACAGAGAAGGCGTAGGCTGTGGATAGTTTTGCTAAGAATAACTCATATTCAAATTTAGACTAGATTTCAACCACATGACACTAGAGACCAAAAAAAGCAAGAGTAAGCAGAGAAATATTCAAGGAACCACCCAATACTGCTATAAAAGCAGCTAGTTCAGATCCCCTCATTTCTACTAATAAATTTCATACAGAGTTCATCTATTTTACTAAGACAGAAGACTGCAAAGGACCTATAACTGAATTTGTTCATAAACATGAAGGACTAGCTAAGACCATGTCCAGTGTAGGCAGACTACCACACCCAAATATACCTCAAAGTTTCCTGGCAAGCCCACTGAAGCCTGGTACTAGTCACCACTATTTGGGACTTGGTATCCCCTGGTGATGAAGCACGGGCGGTTCTTTCTTGGAGTTTAGCAACAAAACTAAGCATATTCTCCAAGAAGTTAAAGGTAGGCTTAGCACAGCAAGGCTAAAGTCAAAAATAGTTGCAACTCTGATTTTAGCAGGGAGAGATAATTTAGACAACATTGAAGCAAGGAGATGATTGATCAGGAATAAATGGTTTCTGAAGCTCTCTGAATCTCCGGACATGAAACAGAACTGAGAAAAAACACCCCACAGAAATAGTTAAGGAGAACACAGCCTAAACTCAGGAGCTGTTCAGCTTTATTTCCAAACTAGCCACTTCCAACAGCCTTAGCAGTACTTGCTAGGCCCTGCCAGCCTGGTGTCTCAAACAGTGCTGGAGATGTTGACAAGTGACTGATTCTACAGTGTTTTGGTGAACCAGGAATCTCAGTACTCACTAGAAGTGCTGAGGACTCACTGAACCAAAACTTTGCTAATTTTACTTGGAAGCTGTCCCTTGCATAGCTTGTTTGCTGGCTTGTCCATCTGCCTTGCCTAGAAGATACACCAGAGAGGGCCAAGGTGTCTGTCAGCCTCTTAAAGGTGTGACAGGGTTAAACAGAGACATTAAGCAACAGGTTATTTCTTGATTCTTTATTTTGAAGTCCTCCTTTTTCAACCAAGCCACTGTTGCTGCACCAGTGGCCAAGGAAGGAAAATAATCATTTTGCTCCACAGTTTAAAATCCAGAAACTGCTAACATCTGTGCCATTGGTTGAACACTAAACATCTAAGCAGGGTGGAAGTGAAGAAAACAGAACTGAACCGTTTATGGCCAGCTCTTTCCATCTTGGGCCTGGATAGCTTTTAAGCTATTAATGCCTGGAGCACAGTCATGCTACAAGAGCAGTGACAGCGCTCTGGTTGGCATGTTCAGGCTGCCCCCAGGAGCAGCCGCAGTGCCTCACGGCGAGGAGCAAGAGCAAAGCCCCAAGCGGAACCGCGCGGGCTGTTTGGGCTATGCTCGTTCAGCTCTCGCACAACAAGATACCGCAGGAAACGGAACCGCACCCTGGCGGCAGTGCATTAAACACAGCACGGATGTCGAATGTCAAGGGGCTGAGTGACGGCCCGTATGCTCTGAGCACATCTAACCACTGGTGCTCAGTGGGTTGGGAAGCAGGTTGTTGAAAGCCTGAGCCTTTTAAGTCTCACTGGCAGGGAAATGGCAAACAGTGAAACTTTTTCCTCCTGTATGTTGCTAAGCTGTTTTTTGAGCCAGTTACTGTGGCTTGATGAAGTACAGCAACAATTCCCCGTTTCAAGTGGTGGGAGGCACCGCTCTCCATTCCCAGCTAGCTGATAAGAGACATGAAACAAAACCTCAGGGCAGATGCACCTTGATGAGGTTGTTCTGCTTTGGTTCAAGAGCTGGTACAGAAAATGCAGACTGCTGCTTCTCGCATATAAAGCAGCCAAGGACCAAGGAGCTTCCTTCTCAAAGGTCCCCAAGGACAGCCTCAGCCAGCTGCTTCCACTGCCATAGGCACATGTCCTGCCTGCAGCTCCCAGAGCAGCCTGCACACCAGGGGGTACATGATGCTCCCAAGCTCTCCCTGGCAAGGCACAACACCTGGCACTCGCTCTCCCCTGAAACCTTCCTCTTCCTGAGCTGTATTAACTTGCAGGCTCCCAGCTGAGCGCTACGCAACCTGAGGCTGCTCCAGAGACATGCAATAGATAACTGCTACCCTGGGGGAAACCAGCATAATCCTGGCCCACCATAGTTTAGACTCTTCCATTTACTTTGTCCCTTCCAAGTTGCTCTCCTGAGGTGCTTTTAAAACATTTAGCTAATTTACCATCAGTATTCATTCTGAGCAGGAATATCCTCAAGATTCATTAGTCTTTTGCATTTTGCATTTCTAAATCATCCAAATGAAGTTTTCTTAGGCTAAATACCCTAGCATCTATGAAGGGCCAGGCATAGGTCTCCTTCATCCCCATGAGGAACAGCTGGAGTGTTTGCAGCAGAGCTCTCTTCCCAGCTTGGAATAAAAACTTTCTTTCAGGTAACAGCAGAAATGGAAAACTACCGCTCCCAAGTCATGGCAACCATCCTTTCCCTCTGCAGGCGCCAACTCCTCACCGCATAACAAGGCACAGGATAACCAAAAAGCCTGGCTATTTTCCCAGGGAAACACATAAGGAGACCTGAGCTAGAGCATTGCAAAGTGTAGCCCATCAGACCTGAGGACTGTGTAAGCCTGCAGGATAGCCTCCAAGCCCCTCACGAAGAGGCACAGCTGTTGGCACAATCGTCACCCAACATGCAAACAGAAAACAGCTCCTTGGAGCAGTAAGTACACACGCTCCTGTTCCAAGTCTGGACAGGAAAGGCACACACTTCCGATCCTAGCTCTTATTCCTACCACTCATAAGAGACATTTCCCCCATTGATCAGACCATGAGGTCCCCACTGCCAGCATAGTTCCCTTTTCCAAAACTGGCTCTTAGTAAACTTTTGTCTTAAACTCTCTACATTCAGGAAGTACTGTTAGTGAGGAAATCTGGGAGGTCCTCTAAAAGATTAACCAAAAATTCTATCCTCATTCAGTAAGTTCAACTGAAATTCTATTTTAAGCCACCCAATTGAGCTCATTTATCTTAGTGTTTATAGCACAGTGAATATTGCATTCAAATGTCTGCCGCCCTTGGAATCTTCCCCAGATCTTAAAACTGTCAGAAGTTTTATCCTACTAGCTGGACACCAAAGAGGCTTCACTTGCTTTTACATTATTATTTAATGCCTTGCATGCAAAGAGCTAACAATACTGCATGAAATGCTTCCAGAAGCCCACCTCACATACTAGAAGAAAATTTAAATATTTTAATAGGGAACTTTACATTCACCACGCTAAGTCCTCAGAGAGAAAAAAAAACAAAGTAAAAAACAAAAAATCACAACCAATTCATTTCATAACATCACCTCCAGGAAAGAGCCAGAAACCCAGTAATTCTATTTGAGGAATCACCATTGTTTTATCAGTAAATCAAGATCATGGATCATCCCTACACAGCACACTGAAGCTTCCTGCTGCCAAGGTCAGTGCTGCGAGAGGGCGAGACCCCCTCCATAGACATGGCCCTTTGCATGGATTAGACATGGCCCAGAGCCGAGTGCTGTAGGCAGAGAAAGCTCCTTTGGTGCTCAAGAGCTTTCACCAGCTACAGGCACCACCTCACCTCAACAGGAGAG